AATCATCTAGATATTTGTCATCTATAAGGCTGGTCAATGGGTCTTTTTCATCCTGAAAACAAATTAAAAAATTGTATAATTTTCACAATATATAAAATAAAAATACTATGATTTATGGATAATACTATGGAATAAATTGCACTCACCAAATGTCGCAAGTAGTCCACTAAATCAGCCCTGAGTTGTGCAGTAGATCGATTTGGTAAACACAACCTCTCAAACTGATCTTGGATGCAGTATAAAAAACAGTTCCCATCCCCATGAACATTCTTTCTTATAAACATGTTTGACAGTCTTACGTTATCTTTCAAACGGTTATAAAAAGAAGTGTATGTTTCATTATCTTTTCCATAAACCACTGTCCTATTCACTGAGAAGAAAATTATGACAAAAAATGTTACATCTTCTATTTAAATTATCAGAGTATACGCTATCAAGTTTGGTGCTGGCTCTAAATGTTGGATGAGCCTACAATTTTGCGGAACAGTTAACTGCTGGAGAATGAAGTGTACAATATTGGAGTACTTGCATTCTTGCAGGAATTAGTGGCAAAAACTAAATTTGAAACTATGTTTTATTTTGCTTATACGAAACTGAACTGTAAAATTACTAGTTCAGTTACATGTACATAAGCGACATCATACCATACAAGTTGATTTTAGATTAGCACATCTCCACAGAAAGAGTGAAAGTAAAGGTTTGCAGATCATGAAAGTAAATAGTATACTTGTAACAATGTTTTTTCAAATTGTTTGGTTAAGAATGAAGGAGCTACCATAGCTACTGTCGGTAATGATGAATATTTATTAACATACTTTATCAAACATATTTTTTTAGAGCAAATTATTTGAATACATTTTAAATATAAATATCAAGCGTACTATGCTGTATCATATAGCACCCAGTACATACCTTCATTTGATTTTGGTTGTTTTGATGTTGATGGTTCTTCATTACCTGTACAAAAAAAAAAAAAAAGAATGAGAATATTGCATAGAACTGATTGTCATTCAGGGCTTAATATCTGGTATTGTATTGGATTAATTTGCAAAATGTAGATTTGTTGTTTTTTTATTTGGGTCTTCAAGATTCAGCAGTGGA